CATCAACCAGTACACCACAAAAATCAATGCTCTCGGGGATGCCTTGATGCAAGGCTTGCGCCGGGCATGTGACAGATTGCAGTCAGAAGAGGCAACCCGTGTGAACACTGAGAGCTCCCAAGCCTCTGCTCAGCAGAAAAGCAAGCAGCGAATCGCAGCATTGTTGCGCAAGATGGTGCATTTGATGAACTCACTGCAAGTCAAAAGCGGCTCTGAGCTCGTTTTTCCAATGATGTACGATCACATGTCTTTTGCAACGCACCGCACGTGGGAAGTGAACCTGAGAGTTGCGTATGCTAAAACGCTGAATAGCTGGGAAAAGTATTTTGATGGCAGCCTGAGAGCACTTCGAAAGCCAGAGTCAGAACTTGCGCAAGCCATAGGGTTTGTGCTGCCAACCAGCATGACAGGCAAAGAGCGCGAGCTTCCCCCAGGATGGCTGTTATTGCCTGCTCCGCAGCCATTGGCAAGTGAAATCGAGGACATGGACGGCCACATCTACATAAGCCCGCAGGGGTGTAGGTTTACATCTCTTGCCGCAGCTTTGCAGCATGCCAAAAAACGTGGCAGCATGGATCACCTTGCCAGCAGAGCCCACACTTTGAAGCACGAAGGGCTAGACGCATCAAATTCCGTGACGGTTCAGTTTACCTCCAATCACGAGGACTACATGCATCGCTGTCAGTCTGATTTGCTCGCCCCTTTGCCCGCGTACGTTTACAACATGTGGGTGTACACTGCGAACAAAAAAACAGACCAGGATCCTCACCGCGACATGTACCTTGACATTCCGTTCAGCTCAGATTACAGAGCAAAGCAAGCAATCAAAATACAGCGAGTCAGCATAGTTCCTCGTGTGCCAGAGATTTCTGGCATTTCTGTGCCATCGCCAGACATAGACCCTCACAAAAACTGTCTCGTTAAGTTGTTGCTGTTCAAGCCGTACAATGCACTAGATGAGATGGATGACCAGGGCAATCCACTGGATCCATACCAGTGCTTGTTTACAGACTCTAATGCGCCTGGAAAGCGCTGCAAAAAGGATCCAGACTGTAACCCATATGATGCTTTCGTGAGCGCGTGGCAGCACTACTGGACATCAGTGGTTCTGCCGCATGCCAGCGCAGCGGATGCAAAAATCGCCATGCAGAAGAACTTTCCCACCATCTGGGAGACTGCAGAGGTATGCAATCACATGGCAACATTGGCGGCAAAAACTCGTGTTACTCTCCAGGCCAAGCTTGCTGCCCGCTTGGAAAGGGATTCAGCAACCAGGCTAACTCTACCGGAGTATTGCGCCTACATCGTTCGAAAAATTGCAGCCAACTTGGACGCTTATGCCAGAGCAAAGTCAGCTCCAAGAACCAAAAGTTATGCCATTGACGCAGACGCTGTAGATGATCCGACCATCTACAGAAGCTCTGCTGCCGAAGACAACGCAGAGCTTTTTGACGCAGCGCAAGATGACGCGCTAGATCCAGATGATGAGGGGATTGTGAAGCTCAAGGCCGGTGAAGCACCATTGAAAGTGCACCATGCCCTCAGCCAAGAGGGCCGGCTTAAAGTGCTAGGTTTTCACCGGCAAAGGGTGTCCAAGTTTGTGAGAGAAATGGTTAGTGCTGGCCTTTTGCCTTTAACCTCTGATCAGCAAAAGCTGCGAAAGGTTGCGGAAAGGTTGCCCCAGAAAGTTTGTCCCCAGACTGCGGACCACGCGGCTGGCCAGATCTGGAAAGCGACACTACCACCAGTAACGCAACTGATGGTGGAAACTCAGCGAGAAGCTTTGGCCCGCAAGCAGCCGGCAGTAGATGTTGAGGCACCTGCCTCAGACCCGCCGGTGCCAAGCAGTGTTCTTCAAGAAGCTGGCAATCCAGAGGTGGAAGCTTTTTGGCAGCACTTGAAAAGGCCTTCTTACCGTATGGCCGAGAGAGTGTTGGCTTTTGAGCAAGATAAGGCACGAGGCTTTGAACTGACAGCCGAGCAGAGAGCGTTGTGCAGGTGGTTCGGCGAAGCACTTGATGTAGCTTTTGAGGAAGAGGGCAAAGGGGTACCCGTCAATCAACGCACCCAGAAAGCTTGCATGCTTATGGGAGCCGGCGGGACAGGAAAGACAACCATAGTTTTGAAGCTGCTGCTGGAAGTGTTTATTGAGTACTTCCCCGCAATAGACAGCCGGCAACGTTTCATGATCACCACATTCAGCCATGCGCAGGGCGATGCAATTTCGAACGAGAAATTTAGAGCCAAGACAGTGCACGCAGCAGCGAGCTACAGAGTCGCGAGCCTTCGCAACAGAGACCTAGCTTTGAAAACCAAAAGAACGGAAATGGAAAGCCGCTGGCGGTCCATTATTTTCCTGATTGAAGATGAGGTGTCTCTCATTCCGGCCGGGGTCCAAAACATGTTGCTCTACCGTGTGATGCGGGCCAGGCAGAACATGCATGTTTTGAAGCCACATGAATACGGCCACACAGGGCAGCTTTTTGGAAAAATTCCCATTGTCCTCATATCCGGTGACTTTCTTCAAATAAAGCCCGCTATGGAAATTTCCTTGGCGGATGACCTCAGCGCGGCACACGGGCAAAGAGTGTGGGCGGAGCATCAGGTGGCCCAGGATGCCACGCTCGGGATTTGCGATGTGGTTCGGCTGACAAAAAGCAAACGATATTTGGATGAGCACCTCCCTGGAATCACAGCTGCTATGCGCGCAAGCAGGCCGGAAGCACCTATGCTTGAGGCTCACTTGGCTTTGTTGCGGTCTCGCAGGATTGAAGATTGCAAGAATGAGCTAGAAACCGACTTGTTTGCCAACGGCCATGTTGTTGGCTTGTACTGGGAGAATATAGCGCGCAGCATGGTTGAGCGAGCCCACAGGGATGCTCGAAAACTTGATGTGCCTCTTTTTTGCCTGCAGGCCGCGGACCAACGACACAAGCTAGCAAGCAAGACACTTGACCAACAGATCACACACAATTTGCTGACAATTCCAAACCTGCACAAGACCGGCAAGCTGCAGGGGATGCTTTTGATACATGAGCAGATGGTCGTGCGCCTGACCGACGTTCTGTCTTCAGAGCTCGGCCTTGTGAAAGACAAACTTGGCCGAGTAGTCTCGGTGGAGCTCCATGGGGCCGACAAGAAGCGATTGGCCAACCTGCCGCCTGGATACACTCATTTTTTTCCCGACTTTATGGTTACAGGAATCTGGGTTGAGGTTCAGAACTTCAACGGCGCACCTTTGGCAGAGCACTTGCAGGCTGCTGGCCAGAAGCGGGGGCTGGCGCCGGAGCAGCTTGCAAAGGCCTCTTCGCTGCTTTTTGTTGAGCTCGCCCACGCCGAGTTTAGCGTAGAGCTCACGGTGGAGGGCGAGAGCCATCGAGTGCAGGCTCTCCGGTGGCAATTCCCATTGACCCATGGGATGCTTCGCACTGCATATGCGGCACAGGGCTTAACCTTGGAGGGCGGTGTTGTCATCGATTTACGCCGCGCTGGCGGTCTTAGCGACGACAACTGGTGGCTATCCTTGTACGTAATGCTGTCCAGGGCGCGCAAGTTGCAGAATATGATTTTGGTTGGGTACACGGCGCAAGTCGAAGACCTCTTGAGACGTGGCCCGCCAAGTAGCCTCATCAAAATTGTTGAGAGGCTCGAGCAGAAAGCCGAGGTCACCATGTCGGCGCTGTCGGACTGGCCTGTGTATGACTCGCTCCGGCGGTCAGCTGGCATTTGAAGTGCATCAGTACGACCAAATGATGAAGGAAATGATAAAGGAAAAGTTGCTTGTGTCAGCCTAGAGTTGCTTGAGCACTTTGTTGTGGATTTGCTTAATGTCCCGGCCATGCCAACTGGAGCTGCTGACCAAATTGTGTCAGCCTAGTTTTGGCCAGGTCCGTGCAACTGAAAAAAATCGGAGAAAAAACACTTGCCATTGATAGTGATAACGTTAAAGTGCGGCCTGCAAGGCATGAGCAAAGTGGCATCGGAGTTGCTTGCTTGTGTCAGCCTAGAGTTGCTTGAGCACTTTGTTGTGGATTTGCTTAATGTCCCGGCCATGCCAACTGGAGCTGCTGACCAAATTGTGTCAGCCTAGTTTTGGCCAGGTCTGTGCAACTGAAAAAAATCGGAGAAAAAACGCTTGCCATTGATAGTGATAACGTTGAAGTGCGGCCTGCAAGGCATGAGCAAAGTGGCATCGGAATTGCTTTTGATGTTGTAGCAAGTGGCATCGGAATCATTTTCAGGCCCTTGAGCAAAATAGAGGAAAAGTTGCCGGTGTGGAGGGTGGGGATGGTTCGAAGCCAAGTAATTGTTGCTTGCCAATAAGCTTGAAATGGGCTTGAAGAAGTGCTTTGCCATTCTTGCGCGGCAAAATATCATTGGGAAGGGGCTGGGAATTTGGAGTCGAAGTCCCTAGGATGCGGAGGATTTGTTGTAACGGTCGTAAGCTCGTGAGTGTGGAGGGTGGGGATTGCTCGAAGCGAAGTAATTTAGGGTGCTTTTGCTTTGGTTGTTTTAAATGTAAACCAAAAGGACAATCACCTTTTTGCGGGGACCACATAAACCAGACACACCCAAATGTTGTACCCAGGGACACACCCAAATTTTGACACACCCAAAAGCTTGACAAGCTCAGGCTGAGTACCCCTGGCTTTTCTGGCAAAAACAAATGCAATGAGGGCCTTCTAAGGCAGGCTCCGGTTTCGGGGCTGGAGTAATCAGAGCCAGTTTTTCAGGGTCTTCACCACGGAAAGCTACAGTATTTGGGTTTGTCTTTTTTGGCTTTAAAGGGACCAACAGGAAAACCACATTTTTGGGGTCCCCAAATTTAAGACACCCCTGCATTCCAGAAACTGAAGCAACTAACTTGAGTTATTGCTGTGTTCAAGTGTGACACGGTGGAAGCCAGGCGAACAGCTGGTCGCAGTGAGGATGCCAAGAAGATAAGTCACTGGCGCACAAAGTCAGGTCGCTTGACCGACCTGTCGTCCCCAATCCGGTGCCTGCATGATGCCCAGGTAGGAGCGACGGCGCTTTACAGAGAAGCCCGCAAGGCCTCAAGGAGCAACGGGGCACAGGTCGTGCGGTTAGTTTCGTGCAATGGCCTGACACAATCGTTGCAATATGCATTCAAGGTGTGCAACCCAAAGCTCTATTCAAGGCAACAACACGACACGGTGATCTGCTGGAGAGGCACGAATGGGAAGCGCACTTCTCTGTTTGCAAGCCTCTTGAACAACTTGCAGGCAAAGCTCTTAATTAGAACACGAACGGGCAAAGATAATAGAGCATATTTGGCTGACACATATTCCCTAGACTCGAAAGACCCACAAGACTATCCATCAGCTCCATATCGTTGCTTTGATGTAACCAGCAGTCATTCACAAAGGGAAATAGGTGTGATTGGTTTGCCACCATGGGTGCAGTGTAAAGGTCCGGAGCTTCACCCGAATGAATTCCATTCAAGAGTCCCAATCGCAACCCAAACTGCGCGCGCACGTTGTCTCAAGGAAATCTCCAGGCGCCTTCGGCCGAAATCAACTGGAGGCAGCAGCAACAACTTCAACTGACGGCACCAGCAACCACTTTGTCCCAGAAGCTTCGGGTGCTTACCATGCAACCCATGCAACCCATCTGTGCCGAACAGGCAGGCTAACCCTTACCGAAAGCAAGGGGTGAATGAGCGGAGGACTGATGCCAAGAGCTGATAGTATAAACAAACATATATACATATATGTGACAGTCATCTATGCGTATCCAGAGGTAAAATGAAAAACACGTGTGTATACATACATATCTATATATACACATATTTGTATATGTATAGAAATATATTTTGTTGGGGGGGGGCTCGTGGCTCCCCTAATTCCAGGGAACATTTGCCCAAAAGTTGGAAGCATTTGCCCAACCCCGGGGAACGATTGAACCTGGGAGTAAACCGCAAGCAAACTTAGGGGCAAATACAGTACACTTAGGGCTAGATATGGGGTAAAGTTAGTAGGTTTTGGTAGCAATAAGGGCATCAATGGCCAAATCCGCAAGCAATATGTGCTGAAAACAAGATGCGTTAAAGGCATTCCAATGTCTCAAACGGCGCGGCCCAGTATAAGATAGTGAAGCTGTTTCGGATGATCGATTGAAAACAAGAGATTGCACCTTCCTAGGAACCTCTCGACGAACCTCCACCCGATATGTATATATCTATAGAATATATGCATATATATATATATATTCTAGAGATATGTAAGCACATGTATGTGTACATGTCTGCATGGTATATGTATTCATGCATGAATGTATTCGTATACCATTGCATGCTTGCCTTTGACTTCTCGGATCCTGTCGAATGCTGAACGTTCTCCAGCTGATTTTTTGTTCACACTAAGTTTACAAGTACTGATAACCGTACGGGCCAAACAACCATCCACACTCTCACATTAGTCACAACCAGGCCAATAATACGCTTCCGCCCTCGTCCACCCGTGGCTTTCCATACCCAGCCCCGAAAAGAAAATCCTTTGGCCTGTCAGCTGTGCCTGGATTGCTTTGGGGAACATTCAACCTTCGGCTCTCATGCATAGCTGGGCAACCACCCCACCACACCACCAATCCGAACTACCGACTATATGGGTTTCCCACCGGGAGCAACAAAAAAACACTAAAAAACAAAACGCGCGAAAATCCGTCGCCCAAGCGTCGGGTTCTCCCCCCAAGGGACAAAAATGCAAGCCGGTTCCGAACGCCGGGGGTTCCGCAACAACAGCGCGCCACGCTCGTCACCCAAGGATTCCTTGAGCCATCGGCGCTGCTCGTCCTCGTCCTCAATGGCCTTGATGGTGTTGATGGCCGCCATGCGCTGGCCCTGCGGTTTCGTCGCGCGACTCAACTGGCGGATGCTTCGAGCTCGAATGTAAATCTCCGAGTTTTTGCGCAATCTGCTTTCACCCAACTGTAGACACGATGAACTGTGCTCTTTTCTATGTCAAACACTTAGAGGTCTTTGGCATCCCTGTATGGTCGTCCTCCATTTGCGAATACGTCTCGGGGAGAAAAACACTTATGTCCAGGCATGACTGCTTTAAAACCAAGGAGCCAAAGCAAATGGAAGTCATTGTTCCATACGGCGTTTCATGTTCCCCGAGACGGCTGCGGTGGGCTCAACTTGCAGGGTCTGCAAAAGAACTCAGGCTGAGGGGAAACACATGTCAAAATTGGGGAAGGGAGGGCGGGAGCAAAGTGTTTGTCCTTGGTTTCCCTTTCAACCAACTCCAGAAATTTGGCACAAACAAAACACACCCCTGTAGAATGGTAGAATGAGCCAGTCCTGAAAATCATATAGCCGAAAGATTTGCGCAAAAAAGACAAATTCTGAAAACTGATTGATCCCCTGAACCGGAATTGGCATGTTGATGTGTTCTTTTCGAAGCTCGCGATGCATCCCTTCGACACAGCACTTGAGAGTGTGTGTGGCTAAAGCAAAGGAACGCTGCCAACAAAGACTTCCACTTGCTTAAGTCCCTCGGAACAAAAACAACAATATTGCAGAAGCTGGTGATAGATTCCCTGTAAAACCAAGAGGGGGAATAAACCATATGATTTAGCCCATCAAAGAAGAATGTCGGCTTGGCTACGGCCCTTTAAACAACATGGCAGCAGCTGCGTAAGCACGCCTGATACAAGTACGTAAGCAAACCAACATACACGACCCGTAAGACTAATGCGCTTGGCATCCTTCATCGGATCTCCAGCTACAATGCACATTAGGGATTTTTGTGATTGTAAACATCTGGCCAACAATCTGAACCACAGTCACTAGGCAGAAACCTGGCAGTCTAATTAAGTGGCCAACTTAAACTCAGCGACTTCTTCGAAGGCTTCATTAGACACCACCCCGTGACAACAGAGTTCCCACCGGACACGCGTGGGAAAAGCGTCACATGTTCCCAATCAATCCCAGGGGGCTGTGTCTACACTAGGTCCTCCAGTAGAGAGGTTAGAATAAGGCTACCAACTTTTTCTGTAGTCTATTTTAGTAGGGGAACCCTCCCAACCAAAAAAGAAACGGTAAGAAGGGCACCTAGCTGGGGACCTAGGAAATGAGTTTCGTATCGCAACATCGGCGCTTTCATCTTCCATTTGGTTAAGATGCCTGGAACAAATAAACATATTTCCAGTAGTGATAGATTCCCTTTGAAGCCAACAGGGGAAATAAATATATATATATATATATATTCTTAAGCAAATGGATGTCATGTCTCCGCGGACCTCCCACTCTGCATGGAGATTCTCGATGGACGCGATTTCGCCCTCCACCTGGCACAGCTCGCGAGCCGACGAGCTGCGAGCTGCGAGCTGCGAGCTGCCGCGGTGAGTCCCGGAAACCAGGGCCGGCAGTTTCCACTTTGCCCCAGCCAACAGCTCAGGGGTTGAGGGTTTGGGGTTTAGGGTTTTGGGTGCCAAGTTGAAAATGGAAAATGGCATGGTTATCCTGTCCAAGTCAACTGCTCAGTTTCTTGGAGTGAAGGTCCAACTGATAAGACTTGCTTTCACCAAGCCGCACGGATCCATCAAACCGTGACTGAGTCAGGCAGGACTGTAAGCCATTTGTCCAACAATACCCGACCAATCATCGACCAATGCTTCGCTGGCACAAGAAAACAACATACTTGATAATGTCTGAGCTATGACTCGTTTCTGCTGAACAACTCAGCTCAGCAACGCGACTTTCAGCGATTTGGGGAGCGAACTGAGGCTGATTTTGACAAGGATCTCATGACAAGTGGCCCGAATAAGGGGGGTCTGATCATAGACATGGGTTCATCTAGTCGATTGGGTCGGGAGGGTCCTAGATGCTGGCAGCATGGATTGGGAGGAGGTGTGGTCCCAAAATTCCATGTTTCTAGTCTTCCAAGGGACAATGGAACCATAAATGAAGATCCCCAGGGTCACCCCCAACCCTATTCTGTGTTCAGGGGGTGATACTACGGGTATCCTATGTGATGAGTCCGAGCACTGCAGCAACCTCTTGAGTCTGTCCACGGACTGCACCCACTGGAGTCTTGGCAAGAGTCACAAGTCATTCACAAGCACCTCTTCCACATTCTTCCACTGCCACTGGTCCATAGTAAGACATTCTCATACTTTTTCTCTAAGTTGTGGTTCTGCTCTCCAAAACTCACTCCCACATAGTAAGATATTCTCATATTTACCCGGTTCTAAGGGGATTTCCCACCGGGTCCTAAAAAACTTTGAGAACCCAAGTTTTGTTTTGCACGCGTACCTAGAAAGCAAAACGAAAAGTGCAACACAAATTGACTGGGTGTGTCCAAAAGCAACAGGGCGACCCTGTTTTATCTGAGCAACCAAAAACCCATTGACTGTTGGTTCTACCAACACAGTTGTGATGGCTTATATAGACTTTGAGCACTGCGACGCTGCACCAGTTGTCCTTTTGGTTGCCCTTGAAAACAACCCAAACCGGGCATAGTCAACACACCATATGTGCCTTGCTAAAATTCCTATTCAGCCAGGCCAAGTGAGTGCTTCCAGTTCGGACTAAAGGTAACCAAGGTTTCCTACACAGTTTTACATGGTTTCCCCTGGCTATTTACGGTGGTAACTGGAAGCACTCTCCAGGTAGAATGACAAGGCTCCTTGCACATTTTCCCTTCAAACATCGACGAATCGAGGAGACCCACCAAAAGGAGATTCACCTTTTGGCAACCAAAAGGTGATGTTTAAAACTGCCAAAAGGGAGACATTTGAAGGGATCGCTTCTTTTTCGGGCAACCCCCCCAAAATGGCTTCGGCGCGCCTTTTGGTTTGCCTTTTAAACCAGAAAAAGGGGGTACCCTCCCCCAGGCTAGCATGGAAGCTCCCAGGACCCCTTCAAAGACTTGGTGCCATTTACAGAGGCCTTCTGGTAGCTTCCATGTTAGCCTGAGGGAGTGTACCCTGAAAAAAAGGCGAGTCCCCCATGGGACCCCTGCAGAAGCACCTCAAATCGGCCGGTTTTGCCTCATCGATCTGCCGCTGCAGCGAGTCTCGCTCAAACTCAGGAAGGAAGTGGAGGGGTGGGTCGTGAGCCGCAGATGGAAAACTAGGTCCTCCAGTAGAGAGGTTAGAATAAGGGTACCTTTGTTCTGTGGTCTATTTTAGTAGGGGAACCCTCCCCCAAAAAAGGGTAAAAGGGCACAACCAAAAGGAGAACCACAACTTGCTGGGGCTCAGATCTGAGCCCCAAAACCAAAAAAAGTTGAAAACAGGAAGCAACCCACTGGGCAAGCCGCCCTTTTTGGGTTGGTTGACTTTAAAGGGACACCCTTCCGAGCTGTTCTCTACGTGTTGCCGGGGCTTCCTTCTGATGGCAGCCTTCACAAGGCAAAGGACGTCCCGTGACTCCGGCTCCCGGGGTCCAAGCGACCAAAGTAACGGAAAGGGGGTGGGGTGGGGTGGGTGCGGTGGGGTGGTTGGGGTGGGTGCGGTGGGTGAGGGTGGGTGGGGTGGGTGGGATGGGGGTGGGGAGGGGTGGAGGCAACTGGCAAGTGCTGTGAAAGAAATGGTAGCATAATTTACAAAATCGGTAAGGGTTCTCCAATCGGTCGAGTGCTGTGAAGGAAACGTTGGACAAACGAACAAGCGGAGATACGGAGGGCGCGGAGATGTGGGGGGAGTTCCTTGGCGCCATTTCCCACATCAAACACAGTCAAGCTGCATTTAGGGGGAATCCTCACGTATCCCTGGTTCTCCCTGATCCCTGCTGGTTGGTTTCCCTGAAAATGGTAGCACAACAAGAAAATGGTAACACCAATGCTAGTGAAGGAATTATTCAGGTAAAGCATATGTCTAATCAGACTGGTGGTGGATTTCTATGTTGGAAAAATGGGCAGTGATGTTTTGGTAGCAGAGTTAACGCACCACCCCTCCAAAAGGAAAGCTGCGGGTGGTTGCCCGAGTCGACCTAAAAAAGTGTCCATTCAGCGCCTAAGATGGGCTCAGACAGTCCCTCGGCACTCCAGAGAACGGATTGTTGGATAGGCAAAGTGTGCAGACGCCCATGAAGTTGCCTTGTCTGGCCGCCGAAAAGCAGAGAACCACACAGTGAGCAAACCTGTGGACTCTGTTGGCGGTTGTTTGTTGGGTTTTTACAGCAAATCACGTCCCATTCAATCCACTTGCGACTGGTGCTTGCAATCAACATGGAGCAACAGGTGCTGCCCGGTAAGCAACGAAACAAGCCTCGCGTTCATGACCCAGTGTCCGGATTTGAGCTCGGCTTCCAGTGCTATCTAAATCGCACTTGCTATCAATCACGCTCAGGTCCTCACGGGAAAAATAAAACTCAACGCTGGTTGAAACTCGGGTGCCATCAGTGTCCAGAACTTCATGATTTGCCCGCTGGCCACGAGGACATTCTTTTCTGGCTGCTTATGGTTCCCAATGAAATTCATCCCAGCAAGCAAATTGATTTCAATCATCCGGCCAACACCAAAGAACTAAGGTACAGTAACCATTGCAATGGGACCAGTCCGGGTTGTGAATAAGGTGTTTGGACAAATTAAGCAACAAAAACACATTTGCTTGCGTTTGCCTTTGGGGCAACTAAAAGGACTTGGTACGGTATTGATCGCACTCAGCCAATAGACACCTGGCAAAACAGGTCGCCCGTTTGGCTGGGTGCTCTACCGCCTTGAGTAAAAGGTTGTTGGACAGCCACCCACCCACCCCTTCAACATGGCTTCTGTTTTCCGCTTGGGTTCCCTTTCAGCCCGCAAAAAGGGGCACCAACTAAAAAAAAAACGGATATGAGTCACAATCAAAACCCGGCACAAGAATGATTCACCCAGAACTAGAAAGGCGGCCGCAACTAATTCTGGCTGGGTCTTTCCCTTTCTAACCTTCACGTACCCGGGTTTTGAGCACATGACTCATATGGCCATGCGTCAAAATCCCGTACCCTCACTAAACATCCCACTCCCCACTGAAATAGACCAAGATGGGTGGTGCACCTACTAACCAAAATGGTACCATTGGTTTTGACAACCACAGCCATATGGGGTCCGAGCGCATCCGAGTCTGGGGCCACCATCTCTTCCGGCAACTCGATGGGCTGAGGCGTGTGGAGCCTCAATCCATCGGATCGATGTGACGCATGTGGGCAGTGGAGGCTTCTTGGGGGAGTTTTGTGTCTGGGCTGCCCAAACTGATCCCCCCTAAAAGTTTAACTTCTAGAGGGCTAAATGGAAACTACCACTAAACACTAAAAGGCTAAGAAGCTAAGGAACCGGATGGCTGGGAGCCACCAAGGGGTGCATAAGGTGGTTGGCGACTCTTGAGGCACCGTTGTTGGGCTGGCTTTGCAAAGCGAAGCCGAAGAAAAACAACACAATCCCTCAAGGCGTGTGGAGCCTTGACATGTGGCTCGTAGGCTGTCGGGGGTGTTGTGTGCACATGGTGGTCTGTTTTTGCGGCTCGCCACCCTTTTTGGGGTTTGTTTTGCTGGGGAAGCCAAAGAGACACCACAGACAAATTGGCGGGAAAAAACAACAACCCCCCTCATGGTGGGGTTGCGTGAGGTCTTAGTTTGGCTTTGCTCAAGCAGTGCTGTGGATTGGTTTTGCTTGGGTTTTGGTTGGTTTTGTTCTGCTTTTGATCCCGTTCGCCAGGCAACGGTACACAAAAGTCTCGGCTCTCAGCCGAAGGCTTCCCATTGCTCATGTCCATGCGATAAAGAAAACCTCGGGGCAACAGCAACGCATCGCGGCGTGGGATGCCTGCCGCCTCGAATCAGGAAGTAGGCGCTGTTGAAAGTCTTGCTGTGACTCAGAAAGATGGAATCCCCTCAAATGGCACGCTGGTAACATACCCCTTGGGGGTGTTCCACTCCAATACATATCCCTTGTTCCGACCCTTTTGGGGGTAGCTCATATGGAAACAAAGATCAAAACCAGCGGTTTTTCCTCTAATTAGCTCTGAATTGATTTGAGCCATCCCCTGACAAAAACCATGGATGTGGCTGACTGGCCAACAAACGTGGATGCGTAGAAACCAAAAGGAAAAACATATATATATATATATATTGGGGGGGGGAGGGGGGGTTCCCCAAAAATCAGACCTTAATAAAAACAGACCCATTTGTGGCTCTTAGCAATCAGTCGAAACGATCCTTGTAGCCGCGGATGAGCCAAACCGATGGTGTGCGGCATGCCAACAAATATCCTTCGAAGTGATCCGGAGATATGCCTAGCTACATCACCCTGCATGCAAGGCAGCAGCTGGACTTTCCCCGTATTTCTAACGGCAAACATCTCGTTTGTTGAATATGGCGTGGAACCAGCAGGAAACACATATTGGTACTGTATGCGTTTTTCATGCAGGGACCAGTTTGGAGTTGTTCCTTCTATTTTACTGTCGAAACATACCAAATGTGGAACACTCAACAAAAACAGAGCCACAAAGGGGGTAGACCTGTCAAAATAGAGACTAACTAACCAGACCAGACCAAACCAACCGACCAACCAACCAGCCACCAGATAAAAGGAATCAAGAACCCAAGCAAAACACATATTTGGTGGTTGCAAATGACAACAATTCCCAAACCGGAAATAAGGAATCCCCAAAGAAACCCTCATGGGTGAGCTCGTAATAAAACCCGGTGGGCTCGGTGTAATTTGTGCGGAAACCCAAATGGGTGTGTCTTCTTTGAGAGTTCCCTTGCTCGGCGGGTTTTTCAGAGAAACCAACCAAAAAAAACTGTGCGCCTTTTGGGGGGGGGTACCCCTTTGTCGGCGGTTGTAAAGAGAAACCAAGAGGGAAGCCGTTGCCATTTTAGGAGCTCCGAATCCTAAAAACAGACGAGACACACTGTGTGGATGTTTCTCTTTTGTGGGGACCCACATTACGGCTGTTTTTGTCCTGTTGGTTCCTCTAAAACCCTCCAAAAAAGGAGATTCCACCAATTTCCTACATTTTCCGAGCAAAGAAACATGACGGATTGTTTTTCCTTTGGTTTCCCTTTAAAAACCCAAAGGGCGGGGGTCCACCATTTTCCGACAAAACCTTCCCATGTTCAACTTGACCCCGCGCCGACGACCGACCTTTGGGGGAGGCTCCAACTGAGGCCCACAGCTCTTGCTCTCGCTTCATCTGCTCCAGCAGCGGCGCCTCGAACATCGGCATCGATCGATCGATCGGCGCCGAAGCGGGGTTTCCTGCCACCAAGAAAGCGAGGGTGGCTTGGCCCGGCAAAAACAGGGGGAAGAAAACCAACAGGGAGCGTTTCATGGTTAGGAGAATGAAGGTTCGGGGTTAGGAGGGTTTGTGGAAACCAAGGCGGCTTTGTCAAGCAAGGGGAAACAAAAAACAAAAAGGACACTTCTGCGGTTTGGTCAGTTTTATTGGACACAAAGCAACCTAGGTGGGTTGGTCAGTTGGTCAGTTTATGCTCTGGGTTGGTCAGTTGGTCAGTTGGTCAGTTTGGTCAGTTTACTCTCCGGGTTGGTCAGGTTTTCCGAAATCAAGGGAAAGGGGGCTCTGAGAAAACCAACGACTTTCACATCCCCTTTTGTAAAGTTCTTCGACGTCCCTCCAAACTAATTGTGCTTGCGTTCACGAGTCCGGAAGGCAAACCTCGCACCGGGCTACCCCCCCTTAATGCATTCTTTGGGTTGAGAAGGTGGTAGGCAAACTTGGGGCAAAACTGACATGGGCGTATCGGTTTTTGGGGCCACCCGTCTATGTGTGGTTTTTACAGAGAGACGAAGACGAAAGCCACCGTTTTGAGCCATGGGGGTCCCCTCAAAAAACACACTCACGATGCATTGCCATGCTCACAGATCCAGGCCTATTGCAGCAGCCAAACCGCCGCTTTGATAGAACCCTGGTAGGTTCTGGCAGGTTGATGGGGACGGATTTTGAGGGGCCCAGCATTCATCCTAGGCGCCTCTAAATCAAGCCAACCACGACACTGCTTGACATGATATATGGGCTTTGTTTAGGGGACCTTCCGAAATGGTGTTTTTCCGTTTGGTGTCCCTTTAGGCAAACCAGAAAAAGGATAGAAAGGGCAAATACCCTCAAAAAAGGCAAACCCATCTGTTTAGACAGTGTTTAACTAGTTTGAGACCAATTTTGTATCCTGGACCCAGTCACGGGTCATCCTGCGCTGCTTGCCAATTCCAATCCACAATCGAAACCACTCCAACGAAGGGGACCCTCTCGCACCCAAAGGGAAGACTCAGGATTGCCTTTACACAGCCTAAGCCTCCTAATTGCCCACTTCCCAAGGGGAGCTACAAGTGGAGACCTCAAATGTAGCCGGGTGGTTTGGCCGGGAATGGCCCGGATGAGCGCAAGAAAAAGCTCCGCCGCTGGCCGCAACTTCCGCCCGGGGCACGGTCGAGGACGGTCGCCGCCGAACGGCGGGAGGGCCCGCCGGACGCCGGGCAGCGGTGAGCTGCCCCGCGAACCAGGCGGCGTGCCGGTAGCAGCAGCTTGGGCCGCTTGTATGGCCATTAATTCGCAGTGGATGAGACTTGGCTCACCAAGCAGCTAAGCACCCAACCAACCCACCAACCCACCAACCCACCAACCCACACACCAACCAACCAACCAACCAACCAACACCCACCCACCCATCCACCCATCCACCAACCCAACCCCGCAAGCGACCAAGCGACCAAGCGACCAAGTGACCACCCAGCCACCCACCCACCCACCCACCCACCCACCCATCCATCCATCCACAAACCCAACCCCGCAAGCGACCAAGCGACCAAGCGACCAAGTGACCACCCAGCCAGGCACCCACCGAACGGAAACAAACATACAACACAAAGAGCAAGGCAGGCCAATTGGAGGCGATCTAAGGCCATGGCAATGGTCGTCTCTCTGGCGTGGCCCTTGGCCTTGAACGAAGCCGGCAGTTCACCGGTCCATGAGAACCAAACACAACAAAACAACACACAAAGGACGCAAAGAAAGACAACACCACACAAAACCGGGAATTTCTAACCCTTGCGGTTTGGTCACTGTTTCAAGGTTCAGAGAAACCCTGAGACAAGTGCAGCTGCTCAGCCTGGAGCCTGAGTGAAGTGTAAGCACGTTCGCTTGGTCCAACGGGAACAAAGACCGGCTCAAGGTTTGCTTCCATTTGCTTCAGCCCCAGGGAAAAAATGACAGTTGTGATAGATTCCCTTTAAAACCAATAAGGGAAACAACAAGTAGTCTTAAGCAAATGGAAGTTTGTGGCTCACCTTTTGGGCAAAATGGGTGGACCCGAAGGTGATGATATTTGAGTGTCGTCTCTTCTACGTGTAGTGAGTTTTGCAAAATGATTCGGTCTGAAGGGACAACAGCACCTTCGCAACATCATGACCCATCTGAAGATGCCAGTTGGGCAGTTTGGCACGTTTCTCGGCCCCAAAATGCCCTACTTTTAACGCCTTGTGGTCTGCTGATTGAGAAGTCGACTGTGGAACATGGGCAATTAGCTTAGCAGCCATGAATCCAGTTCAGCTTGTGGTCGACCGAGAGGGCATTTCATCTCAAGTCAACTTATGAAGCTCGTGCGGCATTTTGACCTATATAACTTTTTATAACGTTGAGAGTCGCCAAGCGTTTGAAACAAATGCCTCTAGCGGTATGGAACAGGAAAGTATCAAAGCATCCCAAGCGCTTAGGGTTAGATTGACTGCCTCCTGCGTCTTCTCTAACTGTTCAACTCGGTCCATGATTGAAACGCATAGACAGTGGTAATAGCCCTGGATCGTGAATTTTCCTGAATGCACCAAAAGACACGAGATGGAAATGGGTGCGTCCTCAAAGTGGGCCCCCCTCCAAAGTGTTGGTGTCAAATTGTTGGTGTTTCCCCCCAAACCAAACACTGATCAAACATGGGTCCCGTGGCCGCTATTTCAAGAACTGTCCTGACGTGCGCCGTTGCAATCTGTGCCTCCCAGAACAACCATTGCAAGATATCTCCGGCCTCTTCTATGGTCTCCATGGCGTGTTGGTCCAATGCCTTGCCTGAGATGCTGAATGTTTGGCTTGACATGATCAAAGATACAACTCGGAAACCGCGCCCCTCATTGAGTCGCAAGGGCGTGACCATGTGGCAAAGCATTTAATTGTCCGGAACAAAAGAAAAACACTTGCCAACCCAAGCTTGGACTTGAGAAGCAAGGTACTGGCACCATCAAGTGCAAGAGTCTGCTTCCTGCTGCAGGAACGTGCCAGAGCCCCCAGCGCGTCGCGCTTTTGATCCGGGGACTTGTGCCAGACTTGAGGCCAAGCCTCATTTGAGGATCAACTTGGCACGTTGAACAATTCTATGGGAGACTGGTTGGTAGGGGACCCCAAAGTGGCTGGGTTTCCGTTTAGACTGGTTTTTAGGGGACCCCAAAGTGGCCGGGTTCCGTTTAGACTGGTTTTTAGGGGACCCCAAAACTGGCTTTTAGGGGACCCCAAAGTCAAACGCGGTTTTAATTTCCTTGTTGTCGTTGTTGTTTTTGTCGATGTTTGAACCCTCCCTTGATCCCAAAGTGACTGGGTTTCCGTTTCGTTTTCCTTTCAATCCAACCGGACCAGAAAGGGACCCCCAACTCCAAAAGACGAGCCACCCATGCGGACGTCTCTTGGGATCCTGGGTTCCTCTTGGGCCAACGCCATCAGCTTCCAAATCCTTCAGCTCTCTGAAGATGGGTCCGTCACGTAGGGAACCCACGAAAAATAGCTGCACAACGCGAGAAACCCAACGGAATGATTCGATTCCCCAACGTAAATGCCAACAAACCTTATGGTTGCCCGTGGTTTCAAAGTCGTAACGGATTTCGCAACCATCCACACTCAAGTCCGACAAGCCAAAAGCACCACTAGAACCCCTCGCACGTGCCAGGCGGATACAAAACCCTTTGGCTCAAGGAAACCCTTCTTCACCTCAAGCAGCTGGTGGTGATTCGGGCAACGTGTTCCGGGAGCTTCAGCGCCGAAGCCAAAACCGGACATTTGCAGATTAGCCCAAAATCGCGGCCGGCATCCTGCAGGACTCAAAAGTACCGGTAAATACCAACAACGTGTCTTCTGGCTATAGTATACTTTGTGCAGGTGGTTTTCCCTCTTGTCGCACCCTTCAGATTTGTTCGTCGGATGGAAAATGAAGGGAACTCAAAAAGCCAAGACCATGAGAAAGAACTCTTACCAGAAGTTGTCAGTCTCAAACGGGCTCTTGCGGCTTTGTTTTTGCTTGAGGCTACCCTTTTCACCTGGGTTTCTGGGGGTTTCCCAGAAGGAACACCATGCCTTGGGGTACCTCTCTCTATTTTGACACCATGTTTTGGGGGGTCCATGTTCACGCATACCGGAAGTCCTTGCAGCGTAAGGCCCCGACTCTTGTCCTGGCGGTCGCCTCGCTCCACAGCTTCCAGCGCCTTTCTCGAGTGAAGCTGGATCATTGGGAGGCTTGCTGTCTCTCCCTGAAGGGAATGACTGCCTATGCGCCGCCCCTCGTGGCTTGCTGGCAGGGAGTCTTCCGGTTCATTCCCAAAACCTTTCCCAAAACCTTTCGTGATTCTGCCAAGAGTGGCCGAAATCCACTTAGGCTAGTATTATGGCCATGGGCCAAAATCCCGGTTAGCCCCCAGTGAACATCCCACTAAAATGGGTGGTGAAGTCACCTACCAACCAAAATGGGATCCCATTGGTTTTGACCACCACAGCCAATATAAATACTACCCTCCCTCCCTCCAATCATGGAAGTTGACAAAAAAAGCTTTGGAAGACTATTTTCCTGTTGGGGAACCCCAAAATGTGCACTTCCATGATTCTTGGAAAGAGGGTAGCTCAAGGGAATAGATCTGACATGCGGCTAATCAGTTCTTTACCTCAATGTTTCCAGCATCCAGCACCCATGTTGCGCTGAAGGGTGGCTTCTTTCGGCAAGACCAAGTAGCGCTCGGCAGGACTTGCCAAGTGAATGCAACAACAACTCGTCTGCTCTTGCAACTCGAAGGGCTCTGCACAACCCGCAACGAACGGTCAGCTGCCCAATGGCCTGGTGGTGGCCTTGTAGACAAAACTCACAACTCATCAACCAATCTCTCTCTCCTCTCTCTCTCTCACTCTGTCTGTCTCATTCTTGCTCTGGAAGACCTCCTGTTGGCTTACCCAGGTGACTCTTGCATCACAGGAAGCTGCAGCAGGTGTTTTGGCCAGCACAAGTACCGCTCGTGGAACCAGTAAACGGATGCTGCCAGCAAGAATGTGCCGGATCATCAGCTGGAGGTTCCAAACACGCATCTGCTGAGTTGCAAAGTAAATGCAACAAAACTCGCAGAAGAATCGGCTGTCTGCTGTTGCAACTCGAGCTCTGCATGTGCCACAACACACGCCAGCTGCTAGCTGCAAACACTTGTAGACAAGACTCACCAACCGATCTCCCTCTCGCTCTCTGTCTCATTCTTGCTCTCGGAGACCTTCTGTTGGCTTACCCAGGTGCCTCTTGCATCATAGGAAGCTGCAGCAGGTGTTTTGGCAAGCACAAGTACCGCTCGCGGAACCAGTAAACGGATGCTGCCAGCAAGAATGTGCCGGATCATCAGCTGGAGGTTCCCAACACGCATCTGCCGACTTGCGCAGTGAATGCAACAAAACTGACAGAAGAACCGGCGGTTTGCTCTTGCAACTCGACGAGCTCTGCATGTCCACAGCACACGCCAGCTGCCAGGTGCAGACTATGCCAAAATGGCCATGTCGTGGCATTGTAGACACAGCTGACCAACCAATCTCGATCTCTCTGTCTGTCTCATTGTTGCTCTCGGAGACCTTCTGTTGGATTACCCAGGTGCCTCTTGCATCATTGGAAGCTGCAGCAGGTGTTTTGGCAAGCACAAGTGGCGCTCTTGGAACCAGTAAACGGATGCTGCCAGCAAGAATGTGCCGGATCATCAGCTGGAGGTTCCAAACACGCATCTGTCAACTTGCGCAGTGAATGTAACGAAACTGACAGAAGAACCGGCGGTTTGCTCTTGCAGCTCGACGAGCTCTGCATGTCCACAGCACACGCCAGCTGCCAGGTGCAGACTATGCCAAAATGGCCATGTCGCGGCATTGTAGACACAGCTGACCAACCAATCGCTATCTCTGTCTGTCTAATTGGTTCTCTCGAACACCTTCTGTTGGAATACGCAGGTGCCTCTTGCATCATCGGAAGCTGCAGCAGGTGTTTTGGCAAGCACAAGTACCGCTCGCGGAACCAGTAAACGGACGCTGCCAGCAAGAATGTGCCGGATCATCAGCTGGAGGTTCCACACACGCATCTGCCAACTTGCGCAGTGAATGCGGCAAAGCTCACAGAAGAACCGGCCGTCTGCTCTTGCAACTCGACGAGCTCTGCATGTGCCACAACACACGCCAGCGGCCAGCTGCAGACTATGCCAAAATGGCCTTGTCGTGGCATTGTAGACACAACTGACCAACCAATCTCCATGTCTGTCTGTCTCATTGTTGCTCTCGGAGACCTTCTGATGGATTACCCAGGTGCCTCTTGCATCATCGGAAGCTGCAGCAGGTGTTTTGGCAAGCACAAGTGGCGCTCTTGGAACCAGTAAACGGATGTTGCCAGCAAGAATGTGCCGGATCATCAGCTGGAGGTTCCAAACAAGCATCTAACGCCTTGCCAAGTGAATGCAACAAAGCTCACAATAGAACCGCTCCTCGACGAGCGCTGCACGTGCCACAACACACGCCAGCGGCCAGCTGCAGACTATGCCAAAATGGCCTTGTCGTGGCATTGTCATTAGACACAACTGACCAGCCAATCTCTATCTCTGTCTGTCTCATTGTTGCTCTCGGAGACCTTCTGTTGGATTACCCAGGTGCCTCTTGCATCATCGGAAGCTGCAGCAGGTGGTTTGGAAAGCACAAGTGGCGCTCTTGGAACCAGTAAACGGATGTTGCCAGCAAGAATGTGCCAGATCATCAGCTGGAGGTTCCACACACGCATCTGCCGCCTTGCCAAGTGAATGCAACAAAACTCGCAGAAGAATCGCTTGTCTGCTCTTGCAACTCGACGAGCTCTGCATGTCCACAGCACACGCCAGCGGCCAGGTGCAGACTATGCCAAAATGGCCTTGTCGTGGCATTGTAGACACAACTGACCAACCAATCTCTATCTCTGTCTGTCTGATTGGTTCTCTCGAAGACCTTCTGTTGGATTACCCAGGTGCCTCTTGCATCATCGGAAGCTGCAGCAGGTGTTTTGGCAAGCACAAGTGGCGCTCTTGGAACCAGTAAACGGATGTTGCCAGCAAGAATTGGCCGGATCATCAGCTGGAGGTTCCACACACGTATCTGCCGACTTGCGCAGTGAATGCAACAAAACTAAGAGAAGAATCGCTCGTCTGTTCTTGCAACTCGACGAGCTCTGCATGTGCCACAACACACGCCAGCTGCCAGCTGCAGACTATGCCAAAATGGCCTTGTCGTCGCATTGTAGACACAGCTGACCAACCAATCTCGATCTCTCTGTCTGTCTCATTGTTGCTCTCGGAGACCTTCTGTTGGATTACCCAGGTGCCTATTGCATCATCGGAAGCTGCAGCAGGTGTTTTGGCAAGCACAAGTGGCGCTCTTGGAACCAGTAAACGGATGCTGCCAGCAAGAGTGTGCCGGATCATCAGCTGGAGGTTCCACACACGCATCTGCCGCCTTGCGCAGTGAATGCAACAAAGCTCACAATAGAACCGCCCGTCTGCTCTTGCTCCTCGACGAGCGCTGCACGTGCCACAACACACGCCAACTGCCAGCTGCAGACTATGCCAAAATGGCCTTGTCGTGGCATTGTAATTAGACACAATTGACCAACGAATCTCTATTTCTGTCTGTCTCATTGTTGCTCTCGGAGACCTTCTGTTGGATTACCCAGGTGCCTCTTGCATCACCGGAAGCTGCAGCAGGTGTTTTGGCAAGCACAAGTGGCGCTCTTGGAACCAGTAAACGGATGTTGCCAGCAAGAATGTGCCGGATCATCAGCTGGAGGTTCCAAACAAGCATATGCCGACTTGCCAAGTGAATGCAACAAAGCTCACAGAAGAACCGGCCGTCTGCTCTTGCAACTCGACGAGCGGCCAGCTGCAGACTATGCCAAAATGGCCTTGTCGTGGCATTGTAGACACAACTGACCAACCAATCTCCATGTCTGTCTGTCTCATTGTTGCTCTCGGAGACCTTCTGATGGATTACCCAGGTGCCTCTTGCATCATCGGAAGCTGCAGCAGGTGTTTTGGCAAGCACAAGTGGCGCTCTTGGAACCAGTAAACGGATGTTGCCAGCAAGAATGTGCCGGATCATCAGCTGGAGGTTCCAAACAAGCATATGCCGACTTGCCAAGTGAATGCAACAAAGCTCACAGAAGAACCGGCCGTCTGCTCTTGCAACTCGACGAGCTCTGCATGTGCCACGGCCAGCGGCCAGCTGCAGACTATGCCAAAATGGCCTTGTCGTGGCATTGTAGACACAACTGACCAACCAATCTCTATCTCTGTCTGTCTCATTGTTGCTCTCGGAGACCTTCTGTTGGATTACCCAGGTGCCTCTTGCATCATCGGAAGCTGCAGCAGGTGTTTTGGCAAGCACAAGTGGCGCTCTTGGAACCAGTAAACGGATGTTGCCAGCAAGAATGTGCCGGATCATCAGCTGGAGGTTCCACACACGCATCTGCCGACTTGCGCAGTGAATGCAACAAAGCTCACAGAAGAACCGGCCGTCTGCTCTTGCAACTCGACGAGCTCTGCATGTGCCACAACACACGCCAGCGGCCAGCTGCAGACTATGCCAAAATGGCCTTGTCGTGGCATTGTAGACACAACTGACCAACCGATCTCTATCTCTGTCTGTCTCGCTGTTGCTCTCGGAGACCTTCTGTTGGATTACCCAGGTGCCTCTTGCATCATCGGAAGCTGCAGCAGGTGTTTTGGCAAGCACAAGTAGCGCTCTTGGAACCAGTAAACGGATGCTGCCAGCAAGAATGTGCCGGATCATCAGCTGGAGGTTACACACACGCATCTGCCGACTGGCTTAGTGCATGCAACGAAACTTACAGAAAGATCGCTTGTCTGTTCTTGCAACTCGACGAGCTCTGCATGTGCCACAACACACGCCAGCGGCCAGCTGCAGACTATGCCAAATGGCCTTGTCGTGGCATTGTAGACACAACTGACCAACCAATCTCTATCTCTGTCTGTCTCATTGTTGCTCTCGAAGACCTTCTGTTGGATTACCCAGGTGCCTATTGCATCATCGGAAGCTGCAGCAGGTGTTTTGGCAGGCACAAGTAGCGCTCTTGGAACCAGTAAACGGATGCTGCCAGCAAGAATGTGCCGGATCATCAGCTGGAGGTTCCACACACGCATGCATCTGCCGCCTTGCCAAGTGAATGCAACAAAACTCGCAGAAGAATCGCTTGTCTGCTCTTGCAACTCGACGAGCTCTGCATGTGCCACAACACACGCCAGCGGCCAGCTGCAGACTATGCCAAAATGGCCTTGTCGTGGCATTGTAGACACAACTGACCAACCAATCTCTATCTCTGTCTGTCTCATTGTTGCTCTCGCAGACCTTCTGTAGGATTACCCAGGTGCCTCTTGCATCATCGGAAGCTGCAGCAGGTGTTTTGGCAAGCACAAGTAGAGCTCTTGGAACCAGTAAACGGATGCTGCCAGCAAGAATGTGCCGGATCATCAGCTGGAGGTTCCACACACGCATATGCCGACTTGCCAAGTGAATGCAACAAAGCTCACAGAAGAATCGCTTGTCTGCTCTTGCAACTCGACGAGCTCTGCATGTGCCACAACACACGCCAGCGGCCAGCTGCAGACTATGCCAAAACGGCCTTGTCGTGGCATTGTAGACACAACTGACCAACCAATCTCTATCTCTGTCTGTCTCATTGTTGCTCTCGAAGACCTTCTGTTGGATTACCCAGGTGCCTCTTGCATCATCGGAAGCTGCAGCAGGTGTTTTGGCAAGCACAAGTAGCGCTCTTGGCACCAGTAAACGGATGTTGCCAGCAAGAATGTGCCGGATCATCAGCTGGAGGTTCCACACACGCATCTGCCGACTTGCGCAGTGAATGCAACAAAGCTCACAGAAGAACCGGCCGTCTGCTCTTGCAACTCGACGAGCTCTGCATGTGCCACAACACACGCCAGCGGCCAGCTGCAGACTATGCCAAAATGGCCTTGTCGTGGCATTGTAGACACAACTGACCAACCGATCTCTATCTCTGTCTGTCTCATTGTTGCTCTCGGAGACCTTCTGTTGGATTACCCAGGTGCCTATTGCATCATCGGAAGCTGCAGCAGGTGTTTTTGGCAGGCACAAGTAGCGCTCTTGGAACCAGTAAACGGATGCTGCCAGCAAGAATGTGCCGGATCATCAGCTGGAGGTTCCACACACGCATGCATCTGCCGCCTTGCCAAGTGAATGCAACAAAACTCGCAGAAGAATCGCTTGTCTGCTCTTGCAACTCGACGAGCTCTGCATGTCCACAGCACACGCCAGCGGCCAGCTGCAGACTATGCCAAAATGGCCTTGCCGTGGCATTGTAGACACAACTGACCAACCAATCTCTATCTCTGTCTGTCTCGCTGTTGCTCTCGGAGACCTTCTGTAGGATTACCCAGGTGCCTCTTGCATCATCGGAAGCTGCAGCAGGTGTTTTGGCAAGCACAAGTGGCGCTCTTGGAACCAGTAAACGGATGCTGCCAGCAAGAATGTGCCGGATCATCAGCTGGAGGTTCCACACACGCATCTGCCGACTGGCTTAGTGCATGCAACGAAACTTACAGAAAAATCGCTTGTCTGTTCTTGCAACTCGACAAGCTCTGCATGTGCCACAACACACGCCAGCTGCAAGCTGCAGACTATGCCAAAATGGCCTTGTCGTGGCATTGTAGACACAGCTGACCAACCAATCTCGATCTCTCTGTCTGTCTCATTGTTGCTCTCGGAGACCTTCTGTTGGATTACCCAGGTGCCTATTGCATCATCGGAAGCTGCAGCAGGTGTTTTGGCAAGCACAAGTAGCGCTCTTGGAACCAGTAAACGGATGCTGCCAGCAAGAATGTGCCGGATCATCAGCTGGAGGTTCCACACACGCATGCATCTGCCGCCTTGCCAAGTGAATGCAACAAAACTCGCAGAAGAATCGCTTGTCTGCTCTTGCAACTCGACGAGCTCTGCATGTGCAGACTATGCCAAAACGGCCTTGTCGTGGCATTGTAGACACAACTGACCAACCAATCTCTATCTCTGTCTGTCTCATTGTTGCTCTCGAAGACCTTCTGTTGGATTACCCAGGTGCCTCTTGCATCATCGGAAGCTGCAGCAGGTGTTTTGGCAAGCACAAGTAGCGCTCTTGGCACCAGTAAACGGATGTTGCCAGCAAGAATGTGCCGGATCATCAGCTGGAGGTTCCACACACGCATCTGCCGACTTGCGCAGTGAATGCAACAAAGCTCACAGAAGAACCGGCCGTCTGCTCTTGCAACTCGACGAGCTCTGCATGTGCCACAACACACGCCAGCGGCCAGCTGCAGACTATGCCAAAATGGCCTTGTCGTGGCATTGTAGACACAACTGACCAACCGATCTCTATCTCTGTCTGTCTCATTGTTGCTCTCGGAGACCTTCTGTTGGATTACCCAGGTGCCTATTGCATCATCGGAAGCTGCAGCAGGTGTTTTTGGCAGGCACAAGTAGCGCTCTTGGAACCAGTAAACGGATGCTGCCAGCAAGAATGTGCCGGATCATCAGCTGGAGGTTCCACACACGCATGCATCTGCCGCCTTGCCAAGTGAATGCAACAAAACTCGCAGAAGAATCGCTTGTCTGCTCTTGCAACTCGACGAGCTCTGCATGTCCACAGCACACGCCAGCGGCCAGCTGCAGACTATGCCAAAATGGCCTTGTCGTGGCATTGTAGACACAACTGACCAACCAATCTCTATCTCTGTCTGTCTCGCTGTTGCTCTCGGAGACCTTCTGTAGGATTACCCAGGTGCCTCTTGCATCATCGGAAGCTGCAGCAGGTGTTTTGGCAAGCACAAGTGGCGCTCTTGGAACCAGTAAACGGATGCTGCCAGCAAGAATGTGCCGGATCATCAGCTGGAGGTTCCACACACGCATCTGCCGACTGGCTTAGTGCATGCAACGAAACTTACAGAAAAATCGCTTGTCTGTTCTTGCAAATCGACAAGCTCTGCATGTGCCACAACACACGCCAGCTGCAAGCTGCAGACTATGCCAAAATGGCCTTGTCGTGGCATTGTAGACACAGCTGACCAACCAATCTCGATCTCTCTGTCTGTCTCATTGTTGCTCTCGGAGACCTTCTGTTGGATTACCCAGGTGCCTATTGCATCATCGGAAGCTGCAGCAGGTGTTTTGGCAAGCACAAGTAGCGTCTTGGAACCAATGCTGCCAGCTTGTCTGTTCTGATGCAATCGACAAGCTCTGCATGTGCCACAACACACGCCAGCTGCAAGCTGCAGACTATGCCAAAATGGCCTTGTCGTGGCATTGTAGACACAGCTGACCAACCAATCTCGATCTCTCTGTCTGTCTCATTGTTGCTCTCGGAGACCTTCTGTTGGATTACCCAGGTGCCTATTGCATCATCGGAAGCTGCAGCAGGTGTTTTGGCAAGCACAAGTAGCGCTCTTGGAACCAGTAAACGGATGCTGCCAGCAAGAATGTGCCGGATCATCAGCTGGAGGTTCCAAACAAGCATATGCCGACTGGCTTAGTGCATGCAACGAAACTTACAGAAAAATCGCTTGTCTGTTCTTGCAAATCGACAAGCTCTGCATGTGCCACAACACACGCCAGCTGCAAGCTGCAGACTATGCCAAAATGGCCTTGTCGTGGCATTGTAGACACAGCTGACCAACCAATCTCGATCTCTCTGTCTGTCTCATTGTTGCTCTCGGAGACCTTCTGTTGGATTACCCAGGTGCCTATTGCATCATCGGAAGCTGCAGCAGGTGTTTTGGCAAGCACAAGTAGCGCTCTTGGAACCAGTAAACGGATGCTGCCAGCAAGAATGTGCCGGATCATCAGCTGGAGGTTCCAAACAAGCATCTGCCGACTGGCTTAGTGCATGCAACGAAACTTACAGAAAAATCGCTTGTCTGTTCTTGCAAATCGACAAGCTCTGCATGTGCCACAACACACGCCAGCTGCAAGCTGCAGACTATGCCAAAATGGCCTTGTCGTGGCATTGTAGACACAGCTGACCAACCAATCTCGATCTCTCTGTCTGTCTCATTGTTGCTCTCGGAGACCTTCTGTTGGATTACCCAGGTGCCTATTGCATCATCGGAAGCTGCAGCAGGTGTTTTGGCAAGCACAAGTAGCGCTCTTGGAACCAGTAAACGGATGCTGCCAGCAAGAATGTGCCGGATCATCAGCTGGAGGTTCCAAACAAGCATATGCCGATTTGCCAAGTCAATGCAACAAGCACAAAACCATCGGAACACGCTCTGCCCATTGCAGAACACACGCATCTGCCATTGACACTGGTTCCTTCGCTTCCCTAGCTGAAGCAAAGCAAACGATCGCACAATCCGTTGCTCCTACGTGAAGTACCCCACCATACCTGGGTGCGTCTTTGTTTCAAGGGTACCTTCTTGGATGGCTTTGAAGAGAAACAATCCCTTCAGGTGAAATACGAATCATGGATCCGCTAACTTGCTTGCTGCTCCGATGGTTGAAAGACTTTACGGTTTTTGGCTGACTTGCCGTGGCGAACAAGCTTAAACTGTTTTGGACAAAAGTTGTGAGCAAACCTGGCAACAGAAACTTGGTTGCTGCAACGAATCTCTGCAAACAGCGAACAGATTAGTGGGTTCAGTCCGGAACATCCCACCAAAGTTTCAAGCAACAAGTTCTTCAGTCCAAGGATCCGCTACCCAATAGACATAAAGAAAACTCGAAGTTCGCCATGTCATCAGAGTCCCTGCCAAAAGCAAACATGTTTTGTCAGCTAAATGGACACCTTTTTTTAAACCAGCCAAAAAGTAAAAACATGAGGGGATGGTTTCACTTTTAGTGAGCAAAATGGACACCCCCACTAAACCAACTAAAAAGCTAAAAAAGCCAAGGGGATGGTTTCACTTTTAGTGGGTTAAATGGACACCGCCCACTAAACCAACGAAAAAGCTAAACACCAAAAGGCTAAGGGGTATGGTTTCCCTTACACTTCAAACCCACCAAAAAACACTAAAACCCACTAAAACCCACTAAAACACCCCGCCTAAAACCCACTAAAAAGCGCTATAAGAAACCGGATGGCTGGGAACCACCAAGGACGTCCAGCAGCCCACCGGAAGTTTGCGCGCGCGCTCCGAAACCGATCGAGCCGCCTGCTCCATAGACTTCAGGCGGGCTTGAACCAGCTCGTGCTCCGCCTACCGAACAATTTGCTCTCGTGCAGGAACCTGGACCTGGAAGAACTACCCATAATAAATGGAATCTACCCAAAATTCTGGGGTTAGAACCCACTTGTAAGGGAATTTTGAGCTTTGGCCAATAATGTTGACCCCAGATGTTGTCGACACCAGAAAGAGGGGTGCTTCTCCCTGGGTTTGGTGGGGAATCAAACCACTTTTGGAAAGGAACAACCCCAATTGATCAAAACTGGGATTGAACAAACAAATGGGGTCAACAGTAGAAAAATGGGAAACTCGTTCAACGTCATTGCCTTTTGCACTTTAGAGGGCCTAACAAGAGTAAAAGGGACAAGGATAAATACACCACGCAAATTGAGATACACAGCTCCGGCGCTGTAAAACCCTTCCTTCCACTGGTTTTGAAGCTTTTTGTCAGTGTGCGGAAGGGTCGCCTGCACGTCCGGCCATTGAAATACTGGTACCCCAAATCATTCAGCCGTGGCCTCAAGTGCTCTCAGCCCTCGTTTTCAAGATCGCCAAAACCTGCATGTTGGAGTTGTCTGGCTCTTGACCCAGGAAATCCCAGGAAATCGTTTCGCCCTAGGTACCCCTTCCCATTTTCCGGGTGCTTGCCCTTTCGCCCAGCCAGGTCAACCGGATCCACGCGACACAAACCAGGCTCAATGCTTCCCATCCCCTTCAAGGGCCTAAGGCCGTTCGATGCAATCTCTGACTCATCTTAGCTCCCAAATATCCCCAGGCGTGTTGAAGCCACTTAGGCTGCAATTGAACCTTTGCACTTGGTTGTTGCTACGTCGTGTTTGGTTAGAAAGAAACTCTGTGGCTTGTGCAGTCTTAGGATGGGACCCTCAGCATCCCAAGATGCCGCCTTGGGTTCGCGCTTGGCAAGCAGCGTGTCGAAGTGGTGCGTAATGACTTGTGGATCTAAGGCTGTAGCACACATGAACTCTACAAATCGTATTTCCCTAACCCTTGTTGACAACTATGTTTCCCTTGCTAGTCTTAAATCCCTATAACAAGTGAAACGATTCTGTCCCTTACTTAGGAAGTTCTTTTCCTCATGGGGTGCCAGGAACCACGCCTCCTGTATACCGAAGGGGCATCCTTGACTCAGCGAAATGGTCTGTCCACTTAGGAAGTTCATGGGGTGCCAGGAACCACGCCTCCTAACCGAATAACCATCCTTATTCTATTGCTTGTTAGCCAAGTATACACAGTCAAGCCAACCAAAAATCCGGGCGGCATATCCAGAGACGCAATATGTGAAATGGCGGGCGGATCCATCCGAAGCCGTGGCAAGTAACGACACCGGTGCGTCTTCTATGGGGTCCCCATGTTGACATGCTTTACGGGGAAACCAACACTTGTTGGGGGTCCCCTATTATTTTAAAACACACCCACATTAACCACCACTTGTGGCCAACGAGAACCCACCACTGGTTTGGGGGGTTACATATTTTTAAGACACACCCACAACGGCCCCCGGAGTCAACAAATTCGTGATGCTTGCCTTGAGCTTCGCTTGCTTCTTGGTCTTCCGCTCAATGCGGCCCCGCAGCTCCGCGATCTCGGGGGTTTTTGGAGTGGGGTGCCGGGGAAAGGCGAGTGAGGCGAGTGATATGACCCAGGGGTCCATGAGTTGATCCACTCTCAGTCAAGGTGCCAATCTTGGTTTATTAGCAACATTCCTTGGTTGCTGTTGACCCCCCTGCAAAAAGTTTAACTTTTTTGGGGGTTTAGGAAAACCCAGTTATTTCCCAAAAAGTTAAAGTCTAAAGATCCAACCCAATAGCACTCTAGATTCATGCCGTGAGCTGTTCCGGGCTGGATTCTGGAATTCGGGCGAATTCCAATGAACGGAAGACTTGCTCTTGTGAGGTGGCTGAAATAGCTTCGGTGACGGATCGCCGGCGATCACCTGGAAAGGGTCTGCATCTCAAGCTTATGGGTGTGACGTTTTGAGGCTACACGTTCTGTTTGGGCTTAGTTCAAAGTGGAACGAACAGAAAACCACCAATCTCAACATTGGGAACCTTTTCAGGTGGTGTCCTTCTTGATTCCTTTCACAAACATCCAACAAAAGGGTCTCCTATTTTAAGACACACCCATGTGGGTGTGATTCTCGAGGGTACACTTTCTTTTTGGGCTTGGTTTCACGCGCAACAAACGGAACTAGAACCCCCCGCAGGGCCCCCTATGTTGACACACACACACACAGAGCCATATAATATACAAATAGGGGTTTTGAGGGGTTGCACCTTTCCAATGGCTGATAGCCACCCACCCTGGAAGCAAGGGACAAGTAGGCGTGTTGTCTTTGTTAGGATTTGGACCCCCGAAATGTTTTCCTTGTTGGTCTTCTTTCAAAACCACAAACAAAAGAGTACCTCACAACAAAAGACAACACGGGGACATGATGTTCCTCTAAATAGCATCCAGCGGTAGGCCGACCGCAAATCACTCCTGAATCCCTTCCTCACCCAGATTGTTTGTGGGCACGTGGGGGCTTTGCCAATCCAGGTTGACGCGCTGACTTCCTAACACGAGGGGCCATCTTGAATATGGCAGATTTTACAGGTCTTACTAGTGGGTTCCAATGAAACTGCCACTTGTGGCATTCCAAAGCAGGACAACTGCTTTGGTCCCCTGCTCAAACTCGTTGGACATTTTACGTCACAACAAAGTGTTTTCCTTTTTTTTCTAAGGCTACCCTCAACAATGGCAAGGGTTTTCTTGTGGTTCCCTCGAACATGTCCCAATATGGATGGCCGCAAAAAAGACGAGCCAGCCACGTGGTCATTGTGTAATTCTTCGAGGCCCCAAGTTGCCCACCGCATCCGTCGCATTGAGGCTAGGCACGGCCGCTGGCTCCTGAATGCCTCCATACCCCAGCTCCTCCTGCGCAACTGGTCAGATTTCAGGCTGCAATTGCGGCTTCCAATTGCAAGGCCCCTGTTTTCAGGCTACGTACCGGTTGTGCAGAATCCACCTTTCATACAACAGCAAAGTGCGCCAACCCCATGGCTACTGCAGAAGGTTAAAGGGATGTTTTCGGTATCAGAGAAAGTGGCCCCTAAAACCCAACCTTCCACATTTTTCAGGGGGGATGGGTGGTTTTTCTCGCCGGAGCCTAAGTGCCTAAGCGCCTAAGCGCCGTCTCGCTGGCTCGAGCTGGAGTGCCATCTTGCCGGGAGGGAGATGGGCCGCATTATGCGTGTGTGCAGAGCGCTGAATGGGTGCGCTTGAGCGGGGGTTCTTATCATTTGGCGTGCTGTCTGTGTGCGCAGTGCGGAGGGAATGCACTGGAACGGGGGCTCTTACCACTTTGTGCCATGTCTGTTCGGGACTGTGCCCTTTTAACCTTAATCTTCCTAGTTCTGGTTGCCGCTCAACTGGGGTCTACCCAAACCCCATGGTAAACCATCAACAGAGCGGATGTCCAAATCTATTTCTGGCTGGTACTGTCCCTTCCCTTCGGGTTTCTCGCTGGCTCAGTAGGCAATGTGGGAATGAATCCAGGGATTCCCTTAAAAGAAAACCACCAGTGGGATGGTTTATAAAGCTCATTCCCTCATTCCCCTCATTCCCTGCATCGATTTCGCGCCAAAGGCTCGGATGGCTCCGTCCCTTCTCCTCCTGGCGCTTCATAAGCAGCACCTTCTCCTTCAACTCTTGGCCCTGCCTGCGTTCGGTGCGTTCCATGGGGCCAAATGAATGATCCCCAGAAACGGCTCCAGGTGTTCGGAACACGAAGGTGATGTTTTCGTTTTGAAGGACACTCCCTTTGGCCAAAAGGTGAGGATTGAAACCAGAACACATATTCAGGCAACCCTTAGAATGGTGGTTTGGATTGGTGGTTTGGGGATTTGAACTGACCACAAGCCAGTGTTGCAAAATCATCGCCGAGCCCCGGGCAGGATATTTTCCAATATGGAATATGTGAAATGTCTGCAAAGCAAACAACCAAAGAACATTTACAACTTCCAAGTCCGTGGTTCTTACTTCAGGCCGTCTGCACACTTACTCCTAGCAACCTGTGCTAGGAATCGATCTGGATGAGACCCGCGGCATGGCAAAACACTTCAGTTGGTGCACATCCCTTGGCTCGCGCTTGCAATATGAGACTTCCTTGCAGAATCGCCCTCGCCCGAGAAATGCAGAGTGCTTGCACTTCAAAAGCGGTCAAGCAGCCAAGCATCCCCCTGTCTTGTTCCCTTGAGGGTTAGGACCCCCATTGTATTGAAGTAAAACGGGGGGGAGGGGCTAACCTTTCTTTCCAAAATGAAATGGGGGTGCTAACCCTCACAGAAGTTACCGGCTAGGGGACGGGGAAGAAACGGTTAGCCCCCGAAGAAAGTAAAATGGGTGGGGAAAGATGGCCACGGACCTAACCCCAGGCCTAAAATCTTCAGGGGCTAACCACCAGTCTTGCTCTCAGATTCACAGTACTTATCTTTGTATTGCCAAATCTATATCTAATTTGGTATTGCACACGACTTCCTTTCAGACTCCCGTGCTTAATTTAGTGCCAGTTCTACGTTGAATATGTCCGAGGCTTACTCTTAGCCTTACTTTAGCATTGCCAATTCTAAATGGAGTATTTCCAAGACTTACTCTCTGATTGCAAGTACATAATGTTGTATTGCCAATTCCAAAATTGAGTCTTGCAAAACCTTACTCTCAAATTCCCCGTACTTAATTTAGTACTGCCAATTCTAAATTCAGTACTGCCAAGACTGACCCTCAGATTCTCAGCAGCATTGCCAATTACACAATTAGTACTATTATGCCTACTTTCAGATTCCCAGTACTCAATTTAGTATTACAAAATTTCAAAAGTACTTTGTCTTAGATTCTTACTACCAAACTCAGCATAGCCAAACATAATTGACCTTTCAGATCCCGAAATTGCCAATACAAGAACTAGTATTGCCAATACTTGATCTTAAATTCAGAATTCAGCGCTGTCAATACTAAACTTAGTATTGACAATACTGAATCTTGGGTTCACAATGCTAAATTCAGTATTGCCATTGCTAAACTTCGCATTGCCAATATAGAATCTTTGACTCACAATGCTAAACTCAGTGTTGCCATTGCTAAACTTAGCATTGACAATACTCAACACCATATTCCTAGGTTCGCCTAGATTGCCAACAAAATGCGGGGTGATAACGAAGCACAAGCAACAATATAAACTGACCCATTTGACCGATTCCTGCGTTCGAACATAAAATGGTAGGACCCAGCCCCCAAACCAAGATATCCGCACTAAAAAAAATTGGGCTTGGGCGAGCCTCAAAGGCTACCTACCTCAAGCGCAAATAAAACTGAAAGCAAAATAACATTTGGGTGCTTTCCTACTTAGTCCAAAACCAGCCACTGAATTGTTTCAAGTTTTTAGGGTGGACACTCCTATAAAATAACAAGGCAGTGGGATCAAGCACGTTCCACCCTGAGTTCGCAAACACTAGAGGCTGAACTAGCATGCTTTCAGACGTGAAAGGGAAAGCAAAGGAGCTCAAAGAGAACCCACAAAATTCGGGGGTCCAACAGTTGGAGACCACACAATTTGAAGATTCAAAGGGGTTCCCACAAGTACGATACACATCGGAACTCGCAAAAGGTCTCCGAAGTGCCCAACTGGACGCACAACTTCTTTTTTTTGGGGGGGTCTGCAAAATGTCAAAAAACATAACATGATAACCTAATGACCAAATCTCCCGTTGGTTGCCCTTTGGGTAAATACACCAAACATCTCGGCAAGCCCATGGTCCTCCAGTAGAGAGGTTAGAATAAGGGTACCCGATTTTTGCTTTTCTATTTTTTTTTGCGAACCCTCCCAACCAAAAAAAAACGGTAAACGGGCACCTAGCTGGGGGACATAAGATTTTTGAAGCCCGGTTCAGAACTAGTGCAGCAATACTCGCATGTATTTCAAGCAACACTCCACACCTTTCTCGGACAAACCCGTGGCACCTTTGGAACTCCAGCGACCTTCGAAACGCCGAGCCCCGCGCCACGAGCCCCCCGCGCCACGAGTCCATGACCGCGCCTGCGCCGCTCCTCGAGGAGGAGCTTCTTCTCCTCGGTGACCACGATGTCGGCGTCGCTGAGCAGCAGCTGCCTGTGGAACCCCAAAGGCTCCCTGGGAGGCGCGTCTTTTGCTGGTGATGCCCTATTTTGGTATGGGCTTAAAGGAAAACCAAAAGAGAAAACTAGCAATTTGGGGGGGAGTCCCCCATTGTAAGACACCGCCATATGAACCCCTAGTATGAACCTTTTGTTTGTGACTGGCGGTGGTGAAATTCTGGTCAGCCCCCTTTGGTGCCACCTCAAAGTGGCCACATGGGTTCATATATGGACGGAAATCCAATGAGCCTTTGACCCTTCAACCACCCGAAAGGAGATTCGTTCAGAAGAACCATGGTGTGTTTCTTTGGTCACGGGTGGTCAGGAACCCACAGGGAGATTCCCCGCAAACAAGATGATGAGATGTTTGTTGGAGGTTTCGTGCAAGATGGTTCAGGGGTATCCTTAAGCTTCCTTTTAAAATGGTCCCATTCGACCGAATCAATTTGCGGGTTGCTCCGGCCCCCATCAGAGAACCGAAGGAACCTGGCTTATTGGTCTTCGATCCTTGTGGGTGCCTCTTTTTTGAGTTTCCTTTTCTTCTTGAGGCTTCAAACGGATAAAGGAAAACACATCATTTTGGGGGGGTCCAACCGAGCCCGTGGCCATGCCCAAACGTCGAGGAAGCTCCTTGTAAACCAAGCCATGCGTCGGGACCAAGATCGGTGGATGTGGTCAATTCCAGTATGAGTTGAGTCAAACAATTGTGATTCTGTTCTTGGAAGGAACGAAAATGGACCACATCCACCGATCTTAGTCCCAACAAGTGAAAAGCAGCAAGAAGACGAGTCTTTCAATCAGTCAGCAAACAACGCCGTTCCGTAGAGTCACCAACAGAACCTATGTGATTTATCTTAAATGAACAAGAACGGCACCATCTCCCCCCGAACCTTTCCCCGCAAATAAGGCTCGAAGGATACTGATATATTCCCAAGCAGTCAGAATAACAAGGCGCAGAGGCCGAAGTCTCTTTTATGGCTGCGCAGCTATTCTCTGTGAGAATGTGGGTTGCGTCACTGCGGAATGCAAGAGCAAAGATACCAAGCTGTGACATTCACACGCAGTACAAAGTATGATACAAGGGATTCCTACATTGCTGTAAATATCCCCCAAACCTCGCCGCCCCCCCCCCCCCCCCGGCACCGATCTTGGTCCCAACGCATACCTAAACCAACGACCCCCCAAAAAGGACACACCATGTGTGTAGAGGAATCTCCCATGAATCTCCCAAGGCCCATTTGACTTGGTGCAGGAAACCCTCTGATTCAAAAGCTACCCCAAAAACACGCCGAAAGCCCAAAGGGAGGATTCAACTTACACAGCCAGTGGGCATAGACAAGGAAGGGACAAGGGCATTGCATTGCGAAAGTTCCATTTTTTAAGTTTAGCTGGCTGTCATTCATGCCCCAACTGGATCCTACCTTTGGTGCTGACGCAGCGGTTTGCCCGAGCGCACAGCGTTGTGGCCAAACAAGAGGAGTCTTCACCAAAAGCAACAAGGCCGTGACCCAACAGAGTCGGAATGTCCTGGAGCCATCGCACAAATTTATGCCTCCCTGGTTTGATACACAAATGGACACGTTGTATCGTTTTTTTTTTTTTTGTTTTTCAAGCAACAAACGAATGTGTCAATGGAGGCTGCAGGGTATATGGCTTTCCTGGGCGAATCATGCCAAGCCCGCAACACATCTTCGCCGGACTCAATCTAGCTCACAGACCGACTATAACTAATTTGAAGAAACAAAGCTCAGATGCCCAGTGGCCATGGAAAAACAGGGCATGTGTTTTTGCTTGGTCGAGGTAAAGGGGGAACCCTTCCCCAAAAAAAGGGGAAAAAAGGGTGCCGCCGGGCAACTGGGAAAATAGATAAGTCATTTTCAACCAGCAGAAAGTTCTGGACAACACTTGAACGTCCTAGGCTTCCGCTTTCTTCCCCTCGATCTTTCTTGGCGTCCATTTGCTTGAGCCCCCTGGACAAAATAGTAAAACGGTAGTTGGAACCAACGAGGTAAAAAACAACTATGTATATATATATATAACATATCCTTAAGCGAATGGGTAAAACATATAGCATCCTAGAGCAAATGGAATTTGAAGAAGCTGAAAGCAACGTCCAAAAGTCCGTTAGCGCCTGACCCTCTCGCGCTCCAGAATGGCCTAGGCAGTGAACCGAATTGAGGTGCGTTGAACAGGGAACCGATTTTTTCGGGTGCGGAACCTACCAAACAAAAACCAAGGATCCGCAAGGCGTTGATTTTTGAGCCCCAACCATATTTTTGGTGAGAGCCAAACAGATCACACAGGGTGCCGCTAAATCAGCTTTGGTGCAGGAAACTATACAAAAAGGGGGACAAGGGGGGCACTGAAAAAGGTGGGACGATGGGAGCACTGCTGTTTGTTTGATGCGATGACAAAGTGACTCTGGGAGGGTTCCGAATGTTTGAAGCGTTGATCCTTGAGAAAAGGCACGCAACTCTTGCAACCCATCCGCGCAATGCAACAAGTGCCCCTAGCAGAATCGACAAAAAAACAATCAAAATAGAAGTGCGAACACAAACCAGGAAGACATATTGAATTCCATCCACGCGCTCGCCGGTCCGCTGAATTGTAAAAATCAACATCACCCATGGGAACTGGCTAAAACAAAGTCATCACGAAACTGCAACCAGCCCATGTCAACCCAGCAAACAGCCACCCTGTCCAGCATAGCGATTCGAGCTGACTGCCTTCCCGACGCCCATGCAACTGCCAACACGCACCGTCAAGACTTGTTGTCCTGCTTGTTGGTGCGTGCTGCTTACAAACTGGTCTGCGTAATTCTTTGTCAAACCTCTCGCCCAAGTAATAACAATAAACCCACTGTTGGAAAATTAAAATAGAACCAACAATGAGAAGGCTCAAAACAAACACTGACTTCAAAGGGGGGGGGGAAAAGAAAAGAAGAAGAAACAACGAAAAACTTCGGATGCTGGGGGTTCTGTTCAGCACCGAGGCGACTGCTGCATTGATGAGATCTGCCATTCGCTGGCCTTTGTCCTGTGAGTGAGAGCACGGGTTTCGCGAAGAGGCCCAGTGCAATGTCAGGATCAAAACCTTCTCAATGGGACCAACCTCGGACCCAGACAGTGGAACCTCATAGTGACCCCAATATTGGGGTTGATGTTCGGTCCATATTGGCTGTGGCTCAAAACAAACGGTACCAACATGGAACCCTGGTAAGTGGACACATGGACCAAAACCTGCGGTTTGCCCCTCCTCTTCAAAATTTTGAGCCAAACCCATATCTGGGTCCGACTTTCCGGCTGCCAGGCCGTGTGCTACTGACCATGGTAAACCTCCATTGGCCAGGAATCAGAATGCGCGCGGTCTAAGGACACGGTTTGTTCTGACGCGGGTAATTGTTTAATTCCAACATCACCCCAAACAGATTGAGCTGTGGCTCGACAGAAGCTGTGCCAAATGCCAGTAGCCAAGTCATGTAGAACATTGTAAAACCGTTCTCCAAACAAAGATCATCCTGTAACAAATCGTCCAGATCGACTCGGCTTGGCATCGTTTGGGCAGACCCCGCAATGAGAATGTGACGAGCTGGACCTTCTGCCGGGTCCAACTGAAACTTGGCCGACGGCAGGTTGAATTAACAGTTCATCAAGGGTCACCAGTGGATTCCAGTTTCCCTTATAGCAGGTAACCGGCTAGCGTCCTTGGAACAGAACTAAAACCTCCAAACAGGAAAACACTGGACGAATCTGCACTAAGACTCGTTTGGAACCCGGGAAGCTCAAAAGCGGAGGAAGCTTCAGAAGGAGATTCCTCGAACGTCGTGTGGGGTTCCATGCAAGTTAGGAGTGCAACGATTGAGTGATCATGACTTCATGAGATGTCTTTCGGATCAGTGTCGACTGTTATGGGAAAATGCCAGGGTCTCCTCATTTACACTCGGGGGTTCCTTCATTTTGAAACCAAGGGGCTCGAAACAGCAAACCCTGGGGCTCTATCCAAAGCGTGCCGCCAAGCACACGCTAGTCTTGTCGTGTCGGCCATGCTTTGATCCAAGTTCTTCACGCTGAACGACGAGGCTGACTCCGCACTCAGGGGTTGGCACCAAAATGAGGGAATCCTCCGTGACTGCCAAAAAGGACGCCGGGAAGCCATTTGAATGGAGGGAATCGGTCCTTGACATATAGCCGCAAACCACTGCGGTCACATTTTCACTCGCGTGGCCAGGGAACCAAGGACATCCTATGGATGAATCTTTCTTGGAGCAACCCAAGCAAAACGGAAACCTCTGGGCAGGTCCACAAACCACAAGTGGGGGGGCCCAACCCAATGGATCCATGTAGAACCTGTATGGTAGGCACTGAGGGGCCTGTCACTCTTTAGAAACCAAAAAGAGAAAGTAGCTGCTTACATATAAGAAGGGCTTGCCTAAGAAGGGCTTGCCTAGGAAGGCCTAGGAAGGGCTTGCCTGGGATCCACCGGGTCCCCAAGAGAAGCTTGCCCCTTAAGCTCGGTGAGTACATTCCAACCAATCAAGGACGAAAACGTCACACTCGGTCGGGGCGGTTCCTGGCATCCGTAGAGCGTCACCTCCGTCTTCTTCTGAGATTTATCCACCCACTCCCTCAGCGGCGACCCACGTGGATTTGTGTTGCTGGTTTGTGTTGCCAGGAATGCCAAAGCTGTCTTCAGATAATGCCGTTTTGTGGTGCAAGTTGCAATGAACGGATGTGGGTGTTTTGAAAGAGTACTTGTTGGTGGGTCTTGCTTGGTGTCCCTTCCTGGGCAAAACTCTTTGAAGACACTTCCGAAAGATAGCACAGCAATGGAAACGCCACACATTGCACCCCCGGTTGAGTTACGTGGTGATGTTTTCAGAAAGAGCTGGTACCCTGACTGCAATACACATACTTTACGGCAGAAGCATCAGCGAGCCTCTGATTCGGTCAGAGGGACGTTCAAACACATTTATTTTGCTGAAGGTTGATTCCAGTTATATTCCCACATCCTTCTGTTTGGGAACCGGCCGTTTTCCCAGAGAGCTGATGTTTTGGAGAGAAGGATCCCTGATGGGGAAGAGCCCAAATCTCAGGGTATAGCTTGGAGGGTCTGCAAAGTAAAAGCTTGGTTCGGCCATTGGTTGAGTGCCACTTGGCCCGCCTTTTTCGCAGTTGAATTTCAGGCAACAGAGGGTGTGTCGGATTCTTTAGGGGACCCCAAAATTGGCGATGTTCCTTTTGTTTCCCCTATAAACCACCAACAAAGGTGTACCCGTGTAAAAAAAACACTCCCAGAGTCACACTTCATACCACTTCAAATGTCACATGTGACACTGCACTGTTACGCAACGTCAAAAGCAACATATCGTTGCTGACCCAAGAACACCGTGCTAGTCTTGCACGTGGTACGTGTTACTTCCTCACCTTCCGTTCGGGCCCAGTCGTCTAGTTGCGCAAGATGACCCCCTGGCTCAAGGACTTGAGCCAGCAACTCACGCAGCCTTGTCGTCTGGCAAATGTTTGGGCCAAACAGAAACCACGTCGAGAATGCTCAAGGACACTTTGGGTCAAGGACAAAGCATGCTTGACCTGGCCACTGCATATGAGCTTGCTGCTACATGGTTCAACTGCAGGGTGTTCCCACCTCGACCCTGTACCAGTTTGGACACATTGACCTCGATTTCAACGCCGCATGTGTTTGTGATCTTAACCACTAACACACGCGCATATACATATATATATATATTAATTCTGAAAACTTAAGCAGTCGCTCATATGGATTCACGACCATGTGCGTCATGTCAGTGTGCGATCATATTGTGAAGGGCTACAGAGAGTGAACATTCACTGCTCTAGGGGTACCTTCCCCATTCTTTCCAGAAACCCAGTTGCAAAACGGCTGGTGTTTGAAGGGAACGATGATTGAAACAAATGGAAAAGGAAGCAACCCCTAGCACTGTGCCATGGATCTGAGCTGGAGCCTAACAGTTCAAATCATCGGATAAGTCTTGGCCACCCCACGACAGTCCATCCACCATCGACTGCACTCCTTCGTGATGGTCCTTGAGGCGGAGACAGAAAACGCCCAGTTCCAGCCAGGCCCTGTAGGAGCATAGCATGCGCTGCGCTTCTGTGCCACAGAGGACTGAGAACCTTCAAGATCAGTTTGCGTCCAAGACAAGTGTCACAAAATAAATCCAACCCGAGCCAAACATTTTAAAACCGTGGGTGTGTGTGTGTGGCTTTTTGTGCCGAGGAATTTGACAAAATGTTGGTTGCCCTTGTGGTTTCCCTTTAACACCAAGGAAAAGGCGGTACGAAAAAAAGACCAGCCATACGTCCGCTTCCCAAAGTTGGGTTTTCTATTGGAACCTAGCTCCACCAAGGGAACCACCCTTGTAGTAGGTGAGCAGCTATGGTCCTTTTGGTTGTCAAAGGGTGGCAAGCCCCTGGATACCTATTCGTAAATGACTCCGCTGGGTATGGTTGATTCGTGCCGAATCTAACAGACATGACCGTCACCGCAACTTATTTTGACAATACATGCCGAAGGGATTCACCGGCATGGTACATCGAGCCTCAATGTTCATGACGGATGCCTACGTATGTGAAGAGTTTGAACATCGTAGCAAATCCTGCTCAGCTTCTTGCGTAGCCACACCAAGAAAAGTGCCGTCAGTCCCTTGAATGCATGGTACATACAAAACCATGCAACACCATGCGAATCCAGCCACCCACATGGGCCAATTAGAGCAAAAATAAACAAACATAACCATGCAATCAAAAAAGAATAACAATGACCAACTAGAGCGCTATAGCCATGCAATAACCATACAATCATCTCCTTAAACCAAAAGCTGTTCTGGGCCCCTTGGACTTCTCTCTCCTCGGCTTTGCGAAATGAAGCTCCTTGGTCGCATCATCCTGCAAGGTCAGAGATCGCGCCAGGCCCGCGTTCCTGGCCACCACCTCAGCGCGAGGACCGCACCGTTTGAGGGAAAGTCAAGGCAATGGTGTGAATTAATTCCAGGGGGCTGTGTCAAAAAAACTCAGGGCAGTTTACGTCTAGGTGTCCACATGTAATAGGTTTCCATCTATTTCAAGAGGTGAAAATGGCGATGCGTCTCGAAACAGGTTGTAGAAATCCTCTTGATCATCCAAAGGCAAACCCTTATTAATATGCTTGTTTTGTTTCGAGCCGGTGAGTTCCTTCCAAAGTGAAAGGATTTCCGCCGGATCGGAAAGCAAATCGGTGCGATAGGCAGCCAGCGTGTCTTGCGGGTCACGAAAACCATGGGGTATGGGTTTTTCAGCATGGCGACTGGCAAGCGTTCGGTTGCGGGTGCACGCACCTGTAGCAACCAGCCATACACCTACACGTGAGCCACAATCAAAACCCGGGTAGATAAATGTTAGTAAGGGACACTCCCAACTATAAATAGCCGCGGCCGCCTTCTTAATTCTTTACATGGTTCTGGGTCGACCATTTTAATACCGGGTTTTGATTGTGACTCACGTGTGTATACTAGTATCCATGTTTGTCATGGGTAAATGAGGGGTTCAATGCGAAACCAACACGGCTGAGGTGTTTTTTTTGTTTTTGCGTAGCCCTGGCATTAGCCGAACCCTGGCATAGGGTAGGTCAAGGCCCGGCATTGTTTTAACATCCTCAGCATCGTTTCCAACATCCTCAGCATCACCAGGCTTTGGTTTGGGCTAGGTTTGGGGTTCCAATGTTGGGTCAGCGTTGGCTCCAGGTTGGTTCCAGGCCTATTGAGAGTAAATTTGGGGGTGGCTGTGGGAGGTAGATGGTTTAGTGCTGATTTACGGCGGGGCTTCTTGTGGTTGGTCTCATGTGGGTTTAGGGCTGGTTTAGGGTGGGCTTCAAGTTGACTTCGGCCGTGGT